GTGTTGCCACCTTCTTACTGAGGGTTCACCCTAGATGTCCCCTACTTGCCTACTCACCTTGGCTAGTATGGCACCGTTTACTTTATTCTCTAACACCATTAGTACTTGTGTTCCAGCTTTCACTGGTACACTAGTTTCCCAGGGGCTTATTGCCTGGCTCCCCCCACAAGAGTGACAGTGTCATGACGACAGGTATTTGGTTTCCCTACTCTTTTTCTGAGCCTGCCTTGTGCTGTATTAAATTCTTACTTGTTTGTTGACCAACTGTCATGAGCTGTTGTAGACTTTCAGTGCATGGTGAGTTTTGTCTGAGTCTGAATGTACCTTTTTGGTTTTTTTCATGATCTAAGTTTGGGATCAGCTGGAGCAGTGATTTACCAGTCTCTTTGATTATCAGAGTCATTGGGTGGGAGGGGCACCCATCGGCCTCGCTTCCGATGGGTCTCATTCCAGAAATGTTGAAGTCAGAACCTTGTGATGTGGAGGGTGTGGTGCAATCTATGTTTCAAAGTCTCTGTAAGTGGCTCCACTCATCGTCCCATTGAGGACACTACTGCCAGGGAGTCACTGGAGCTCAATGTTGAGCATCCACCAGGTAAGTGAGTTCTGGCTAGCTTGACAAGTAGCCTGAGTCAGCCATGCCTTTGAATCAGATCTGATATGACTGGGACTTGCATCTTAAATATGTTTTACTGGAATTTCACCAAACTCCTTGAGCCCCTGAACTCACAACACTATGTGGCAACTTTGCTGTGGGTCATATTACCGTGTCTTCTTCATGAAGGGTTTTAAGGTGAAAAGATACTGTCAAATAGTAATGTTGCCCAAAGGGAAATGGAGTAAATAATCATAAAATTTTATGGTCTTAAGGAGATACTTTTCAATTGACTCTGTCTCTGAATTTCCCCACCTTTAATTTTAAACATGCTGAACTACTTTGGAAGGAGCAGCCGTAAGAGTTCATTGATAACTTTTTTTTCTAATTTAGTCATCCACCTTTCTGCATTTTTTGTATACGTTAGAGAAATGTTGTACTTTTTAATTTAATGTCCTTGGTTACTTTTAGTGAAGCCCTCTCAAATATCAGTTGAAAAAAATCTCGTTTTAAGCTTATTATGATTGTTTCCAAGCAGGATATTTTTGAAAATGTGTCTTCATAGAAGAGAAGATATAATATAAAATCAATTTTTTTCTCTTTTAGAGACAGGGTGTCTCTTTGTTACCCAGTGGTGCAATCACAGCTCATTACAGTGGTGCAATCACAGCTCATTACAATCTCCAACTCTTGGGATCTGGCTATCCTCCTACCTCAGCCTTCCAAAGCACTGGGATTACAGGCATGAGCCACGGTGTCCAGCCTCCACTAAGACTTGCTAAAAGGGTTCCGCTGCTTACTGACTCTTTTCTCTTTTTACTGACATTTACACAAATTTCAGCCCATAGGAGTGTCCTTCTCCTTTAGCCTCCCAAGTAACTGGGACTATAGGCACACTCTACCATGCCTGGCTATTTTAAAATTTTTTGTAGAGATGGGATCTTGCCATGTTTCCCAAGTCGGTTTTGAACTCCTAGGCTAAAGCAATCTTCCTGCCCTGGCCTCCTCTAGAAACTTATTTTAAAATTTTGGAGTGCAAGCGAAGATTTACTACATAAGTAAGTTGCATGTAGATGAAGTTCGGGTTTCTAGCTGCCCCCTCCACCCCCCATAGTGAATCTGGTGCCCAGTGTGTTCCTACACGCCCTCCTCCGTCCCTCCCTCCCTTCCTCCCTTCTTCCCTCATGACCCTAGCAGTGATCAGCGTCTGCCAATTCCACTCTTATGCTCATGTGATCAGTAATCAGGGCCCGTTTATGAGTGAGAACATGCTTTATTCAGTACTTTACAGAAACCTATTTTTTCTTTATTATTATTATTATTTTCATTATAAAGATGCGGGGTACAATTAAGGGTTAAGTATACAAACATTGATTATGCAGGTACCCCTCCCTCCTCTAGCAGTTTCCCTCAACTGCCAGTCCCACCCACCCCTCCCCTGACAGTTTACCTTTACTGCCAAACGCTTTCTTATAGTATTATAATTGTTCAAGGTCTGCTTATGAGTGAGAACATGTGGTACTCTGTTCTTTGCTTCTGTGAGAGTTTGCTGAGTATGATTGACTCCAAAGCCATTCAAGTTGCTGCAAAGTCCATATTTTTTTTATGACTGCATAATATTCCATTGAGTATACGTACCACATTTTTAAAATCCAGTTCAGCTTCGAAGGGCAACATGGTTGGTTCCGTGTTTTTGCTATTGTGAATAGAGCTGCCACAAACATACGTGTGCAGGTATCTTTTCTGTAGAATGATTTGAGTTCTTCCAGGTATATTCCCAATAGAGGAATTGCTGGGTCGTATGGAAGGACAATTTCTAGTTCTTTCAGAAATCACCACACTGTCTTCCAAAGAGGTTGCACTAGTTTGTATTCCCACCAGCAGTGCAGAAGTGTTCCTTTTTTCCCATATCCTTGCCAGCATCCGTTGTTGTTTGTTTTATTAATGATGGCCATTATTACTGGGGTTAGGTGGTATCTCAATGTGGTTTTGATTTGCATTTCTCTGATGATGAATGAGGCTGAGCACCTTTTCATGTGTCTGTTGGCTGCCTGTATATCTTTTTCTGAGAAGTGTCTATTCATGTCTTTTGCCCACTTTTTAAAGGGGCTGTTTGTTTTTTTCATTTTGGAGCATTTGAATTTCTTGTAGGTCCTAGATGTTAGGCCTTTGTCAGATATACAGTTGGCAAATATTTTTTCCCATTCTGTTGGCTGTCTCCCTGCTCTCTTGATGATTTCTTTTGCTTAGCAAAAGCTTGTTAGTCTGATGAGGTCCCACTTGTCTATCTTCTTTCTTTTTTTAATTTAATTTAATTTTTTATTAACATTTCTTTTTTTTTCCTCTTTCAATTTTTATTTAAAATTGGGTGCAATTCAGGACTAAGTATACAAATTATCTTATTTCTTAAGGTATTGGCCTTTAGGATTCTGAATAGGAATTGGTTGCCAATTCCAATTTCCATAAGGGTGACTCCTGCATTTTTATATAAGATTCTTATAGTTTAACGTTTTACGTTTAGGTCTTTGATCCATTTAGAGTTAATTTTTGTGTATGGTGATAGGTAGG